AGCTGAAATAAAATATCCCAGATATATTTTTCAATTGCACAAAAAGTTTCTCTCAAATTGTGTGCACAAATTAGTTACATACCTGTTAGTGAGCATTTCTCCTTTGACAAGATAATCCATCCACCTGACACGTGTGGCATATCAAGAAGCTGATTGTCCCCCTTGTGCCGGGGACAATAAAAGGCCACTCTAAAATGTGCAGTTGTGTCACACAACACAATGCCACAGATGTCTCAAGTTTTGAGGGAGCGTGCAATTGGCATGCTGATTGCAGGAATGTCCACCAAAGCTGTTGACAGAAAATGGAATGTCAATTTCTCTACCATTAGCCGCCTCCAAAGTTGTTTTAGAGAATTTGGCAGTACGTCCAATCAGCCTCACAACCGCAGACCACGTGTATGGCGTCGTGTGGGCAAGCGGTTTGCTGATGTCAACGTTGTTAACAGAATTCCACATGGTGGCGGTGGGGTTATGGTATGGACAGGCATAAGTTATGGACAACGAACACAATTGCATTTTATTGATGGCAATATGAATGCACAGAGATACCGTGACGAGATCCTGAGGCCCATTGCCGTGCCATTCATCCGCCGCCATCACCTCAGGTTTCAGCATTATAATGCAAGGCCCCATGTCGCAAGGATCTGTACACAGTTCCTGGAAGCTGAAAATGTTCCAGTTTTTCCATGGCCTGCATACTCAACAGACATGTCACCCATTGAGCATGTTTGGGATGCTCTGGATCGACATGTACGACAGTGTGTTCCAGTTCCCGCCAATATCCAGCAACTTCCCACAGCCATTGAAGAGGAGTGGGACAACATTCCACAGGCCACAATCAACAGCCTGATCAACTCTATGTGAAGGAGATGTGTCAAGCTGCATGAGGCAAATGTTGGTCACACTAGATATAACTGGTTTTCTGATCCACGCCCCTACTTTTTTTTAAGGTATCTGTGACCAACAGATGCATATCTGTATTCCCAGTCATATGAAATCCATAGATTAGGGCCTAATTAATTTATTTCAATTGACTGATTTCCTTATATGAACTGTAACTCAGTAAAATCTTTGAAATTGTTGCATGTTGCTTTTATATTTTTGTTCAGTATACATTTATCCTGAATAAAGTGTCTGAGCCACGAGTTGAAGAGCAATGAAATCAGATTCCCTTCCTCTCGCATATTGCGTTATTGTCCACTTCATTTGAGGAAGACAATTTAGTAAATATTTTATTCATCAAATGTGTTGGTGTTAAAAAAAGAGTAATGTTAAAATACCTAACACATTACACATTTTGTAATGACAAATGCATTTGAAACTTCACGCACAGTAAAACCTTTTTATGACTTGATGCAATTATATTATCAATACAATTATATTATCGGTAGGAGTGGGGGGAAAAGGTGCTTGTGCATTGATAATGATAACCACATCAAAGCGCACAAAAGTAATCAAATAAATACGGCACTTCTAAAAGTATTTCACATGACAGCCTGCTGAATTTGCAAGAGAACAATTTTTTCATTTTAATTTCGGCACAAATAAAAATGTGGCACTGACTTGTCCATGGATCAGCCTGGACTCAGGGGTAGACATAACATAGTAAAAGTAAATCCGGGACACCCCAATTAGTATGGTATGTGTTAATTTGTGGATATCCATCATCCATTTCGTAGGATATGTTAGGAATTACAATTCATATGACATGTTACAAATTGCAATTCATACAATATGTTAGTAATTGCAATCATACAATATGTTATGACTATGCAAACATATGATATGTTACGAATTCCAATTTATTGTGGCTAACATTAGCTAGGTGGTTAAGGCTAACGTTCGCTAGGTGGCTAATGCAAGCCATAAAAATGATGCCAGCTGATTCGTGATTTCGAGTGGCTGAGAAACGCTGCCTGCCTGTCTGTCTCATCCCAACACGTTCATTACTATGGAACAGCTGGAGATCAAATTTGAATATTGAAATAATGTTGCAAATGTTTGAGAGACAGACAGCAAGGTTTATACAAATCTCCGCTGTTGAAAACTAAGTGTTAGTGTAAAAGAAAGGTGAGATCATTTCTAGATGCTTTTTATAGTGGAGATCAAGTTTTTAAATTGCTTGGCTGGGTTGATGAGACAGTGGATTGTGCAGTCAGATGGAACAGAGTAAATGGGCATTTTAAGTCAGATTTAGCCGGTGGTCATTTGTGGAATAGACACCTGCTGGAATGCGATTTTAACCAATCAGCATTCAGAATTAGACATACCCGTTGTATAACATACTATTATGAGTGTCCCGGATTGGATAGAGATTACTATGTTATGTTTAGTCTATGAGACCAGGCTGCATGGTTTGAAGTTTCAGCGTTATATTAATTGAAGAGTTCGGCGTTCGACTAGCCACGTGCAACATATGCGCACTGCGCAGTTACAAACCAGCTATAGTTAGCAGCAGGCAGACGAGCAATAGCCACGGTCGTAGTACAGATGAAGACTTACCTGCAATGTGAAGCCAACTAGCTTTATAAAAGCCTGAGTAGATCTAGTTTGCTTCTAGTATACCACTCAGGTGAATGAGGGTTCAAAGACGAACAATAAGTGTTAAGGTGAGCGTGGGTTTTGTGACATCCACACTTTCCTGTGGATACCCTATCTCCACCTTCTACTGCCAAAAGATCCAAGAGCATGTAGAACCGGTAAAGTAAGTGTAAATATAATTGTATTCAACGTTCTGGCTTGTAGCCTTCTGTAGCTCAGTTGGCAGAACATGGCGCTTGCAACGCCAGGGTTGTGGGTTCGATCCCTACGTGGGGCCAGTATGAAAAAATGTACGCACTCACTAACTGTAAGTCGCAATGGATAAGAGCGTCTGCTAAATGACTCAAATGTAAAATGTAGAGACGATTGCGTCTTTTTTAGGGCGACTTCAGTTAGACTGAAAATCCATGGAGTAACCATGGTAACAGTCTGATGTTTAGGTAAAGGTGGCGGCCTATGTCGTCCGTCTGTCTAAAGAAGCACTGTAACATGGCGATATGGCCGTGTGGGAACACTAACCCTTAAAGGTGTGTAGTAATTTACCTTTTAATATTTAGAGCAAACCTTGAGGCTCTTAACAAAACTCCCCCGGTCCGAATATACTATCGTCAATGGTCGCGAAAGTAGTTACAGATTATTACACCAGATAATGTGATTAAACAAAATATTTTTGGTATCCATTACTGGGAGTTAGAGGTTAGGTACTGTTTGGTGTAGCACCGAATTTTCAACCAACCTTAACTTCGTGATACTATCTTCTTTCTCGATTCGGCCAAACATGTATCTTATTAAATTAAATGGTATTTATTTTATCTGGTGCAGTAAACTCAGCCTCATCTGATTTGCTTGCTCTTTTGGGTTTAGGCCGGGTAACGTATAAAGCCACTTTGTGACAACTGCTGATGTAAATGGGGCTTTATAAAATAAATGTGATTGATTGATTGACTCTGTACAGAGAATGAATTTGTGGCTGTGTGAGTCGAAATCATCTTAGTGTAACAGTCAAGCATGAATTGCAAACAACCCCCCCCCCCCAAAAAAGAGCCCACAATACAAAAATGTTTTATATTTTAGCAATTTAGCAGATGCCCTTATCCAGCATGAAAAAGGATGAAACACTCAACAACACCTGTGACAAATGGATTTATGGACATGGTTCTCTCCGAGGCAAGATGGTTGACAGACCAGGAAGTCATGGCCGATTCTGAGAAACATTTCTCCGCGTCTCCATTTGTTGCCTTGGGGTTGCCCTGCAACTGGACACGGACACCCCCACCAGAAACAAGACAAAGACAATTTTAGAAGATGCATGTTAGGCCGAATCGAGAACGAGGATGGTATCGCCAAGTCAGGGCTGGTCGAAAATTCTCTGTGCTACACCAAACAGTACCTAACCTGTAACTCCCAGTAATGTATATCAACAATCTTTGGTTAAATCACATTATCTGGTGTAACAATCTGACTAGTGCTCAAGTAGAAACTGTTGCTTCAAAGGTCTGTTTCACTTTCTTTTTTCAATAGTTCATGTTAGGCTATAGCCTAATTTAGATACATTGTTACTATCTCTTTGCACTGTGTTATAATATAACATAAATGTGAGTCATCCATCCACCATTGAAAGAACCCTCAAACTACATGTTTAATCTATAATTAATCTATGTACACTTTTGAAAAATAATATATGAATTTACTAGATGTATCTGGGTAGCCAATCTACTACTTATACTAGTACTACGATCTACTGATGTAGAATAATAATAATAATATGCCATTTAGCAGACGCTTTTATCCAAAGCGACTTACAGTCATGCGTGAGAAGTAGTAGACCTACTGTACTTCTTCTACAATCTGTTATACTGTAAATTGAACTGGGCCATGACCTAAACAAAGTAAGAAAGGAAGATAATTATGTTGTGGTGAGTGGAGGATGTTTAGTCTGAAACAGATTTTTATCCTCCAGTCATTAGGACCGACCCATCAGCCATACAGTGTCCTGCTATCCCTGGAATCCAAGTTTCCACCCTGGTCAATGGAATATTTAAATTTCACACATGGGTAAGGTTATTGCTGTGTCCTGTTCTAACATTAGCAATGAGTTATCATCACCTATACTTGTTTAAAAACTACAAGTCATCACAATGATGACAGAACTATTAATTCATAAATTTACGCAGCATTCCTTGACCCAATTCCAATGTTATCAACTCGATACATTTTTCCTCAACGCTTGTGTATTCCTTGTTGCCCCTGAAATGTTTGTCAGTTAGATGAATTGTTTATCTGTAAATAACTGACACATTTGATCACCCTCAAGATAAACATTTACTGTAAACTCCATATGATTTTATTGTCTTGTACTGAGACATCCACACAAAGGACACATTTCTAAATTCTTACAGGCGGAAAATCTTTACAATTACTTGGGTGGCAATTGACACTGTGAGGAAACGTAAATCGGCATGGTGCTGTGTCTACTGGCGGGCCAGCCTTTCTTCTTGAATGGGGGCCAGCCAATGAGCTTCTGCCTGAGCAGGCGTCACTTCCTTTTCACTGGCTGCTGCAGTCAATCAGCTTATTCAGCACAGAGAGAGTATATGTGCTGTGTGCGCGCTGGCCTTTCCACACTGCTAAAAGCCTACCACCACCTCCCTCTCTGCCTCCCCCTTAACCCCAACAAACATCCCATCCAGCTGACCCTCCCATCCCCCATTCCCACACAAGCCGCCACTCACACACCCATGCCACATTAGGCCCAGCTCTGTTAGTGAGTGAGTCAGTGGAGAAAGTTACACCAGTCTCTGTGTTGGTGTGTTTGCCAGGCACTCGACTGCAGCAACAGCAGCACAATCCTCTGGCCCAGCGAGCCCTGCTGCGTCTGATCCCAGGCCTCTTCTCAAGGTAATGATGTGCATTAATGGTTGTTTACTGCTGGCACTGTCACTGAGAACCTAATATTTTCAGCCTGAGGTGAGGTTGTTGTTGTTGTTGTTGTTGGATTATCTGATTATGAAACTAGTAATCCAGAGACCTGTTTTGTTATGGTGGTGTGTCTGTTTATATAATGCGTTTGGATATGTCTGTATTTCTATCCACCTTATTCGTTAACAAATGATGACTCATTATGTAGATCCAGTGGTGAATCACAGCTAAGTCAAAATGTTTTAAGTATTTTTTGCTGCTGAATCACAACCACTGACTGTCCCTCCACACATTTTTTTTTGTCAGTATTCCCATGACATGAATGAGTCAGACAGTGCCTGCATTTTAAACAGTTATAGTGCCTTCAGAAAGTATTCACACCCTTTGACTTTATCCACATTTTGTTGTTACAGCCTGAATTTAAAATTGATTAAATTGAGATTTTTTTTGTCACTGGTTTACACACAATACCCCATAATGTCAAAGTGGAATTATGTTTTTTATATATATATTTACAAATTAATACAAAATGAAAAGCTGAAACATCTTGAGTCAATAAATATGAAAGCCCTTTGTTATGGCAAGCCTAAATAATAATACACATTTGTTTAAGTTTAAGTGGACTCACTCTGTGTGCAATAATAGTGTTTAACATGATTTTTGAATGACTACCTCATCTCTGTACCCCAGACATACAATTATCTGTAAGGTCCCTCAGTCGAGCAGTGAATTTCAAACACAGATTCAACCACGGACCAGGGAGGTTTTCCAATGCCTCGCAAAGAAGGGCACCTACTGGTAGATTGGTTAAAACATTTTTTTTAAACATGGTCAAGTTATTAATGACACTTTGGATGGTGTATTAATACACCCAGTCACTACAAAGATGCAGGCGTCCTTCCTAACTCAGTTGCCGGAGAGGAAGAAAACCCCTTGGGGATTTCACCATGAGGCCAATGGTGAATTTAAAAGGGTTACAGAGTTCAATGGTAGTGATCGTAGAAAACTGAGGATGGATCAACAACATTGTAGTTACTCCACAATACTAACCTAGTTACTCCACAATACTAATCTAAATGACAGAGTGAAAAGAAGGAAGCCTGTACAGAATACAAAATTATCCAAAACATGCATCCTGTTTGCAACAAGGCACTAAAGTAATACTGCAAAAAATATGGCAAAGCAATTAACATTTTGTCCTGAATACAAAGTGTTATTTTTGGGGCAAATCCAATACAACACATTACTGAGTACCACTTTTCATATTTTCAAGCATAGTGGTGGCTGGGTCATGTTATGGGTATGCTTGTAATAAAGGACATTTCATCTCCATTACCAACATATTATGTGAAAATGGCGCGTTTATGTTTTGTAGTAAAAAAGAACGTAAGAAAACAGTTTACAATGACATCAACCAATTAATTGGCAATGCCTCCTCATAATTGGTTAAAATCACACGATGCACACCGATGTCATTGGAAACACTTATCTTCCCCTCTTTTTTTTTTTTACTACAAAACTTTGAAATGTGAAATTTTCACATGTTTATGTTGGGGTGGTGCTGGAGATAATAAAGGGACATTTCACAATTTTTCAACTTCATCAAGGACTGGGGAGATTTTCAGGATAAAAAATAAACGGAATGGAGCTAAGCACAGGCAAATTCCTAGAGGAAAACCTTGTTTAGTTTGCTTTCCACCAGACATTGGGAGATTAATTCACCTTTCAGCAGGACAATAACCTAAAACACAAGGCCTACACTGGAGTTGCTTACCAATAAGACAGTGAATGATCCTGAGTGGCCGAGTTACAGTTTTGACTTAAATCTACTTGAAAATCTATGGCAAGACCTGAAAAGGGTTGTCTAGCAATGATCAACAACCAATTTGACAGAGCTTGAAGAATCCTGAAAATAATAATGGGCAAATGTTGCACAATCCAGGGGTGGAAAGCTCTTAGAGACCTACCCAGAAAGACTCACAGCTGTAATCGCTGCCAAAGGGGATTCTACAAAGTATTGACTCAGAGTTGAATACTTAAAGTAGGTATTTAATATTTTATAAATGTGCAAACATTTCTAAAAACATGTTTTCACTATCTCATTATGTGGTATTGTGTGTCATTTTGAATTCAGGCGTTAACACAACATAATGTGGAATAAGTCGAGGGGTAGGAATACTTTCTCAAGGCACTGTAAACCTTATTACATTGATTGAAATCTGCTAAAAATTGAAATTGCTTTAGCAGCAACAGCTTTGTGAAAGCAGGACCATGTTGTGCGAACACATGGTGTTCCAGCTCAGAGGACAGGAAACAATGCAGAATATAAGCCATTCAGCCCCACTATAATAGCCCTACCGCTGGCTGCTACTACTGGGTGGGATATAGACCTCAGGCCCCACATGGAGCTAAGCCCCTATTTCTCTGACCGACAGCCCCAGCATGGAAAGCCCAGTGAGGGCTGAGCCAGCTACCCCATCCCTGGCTCCCCCAGCTCCCCGAAACCATACTCCTTCTCTAAGTCCCAGAGCTGAGGCCAAAGAGGAGAGGTTGGAGGAGAGCGAGGGAACAGCGGATGAGGGCGAGGCAGTGGACACAGAGGAGGACCCTATATATTTCTCGCTGTTATCAAAGATGTCAGTCTTTGTGGAGGAGCCAGCAGAGGATGCATCAGAGAAGGCTGCGGCTGAGGAGGCTGCAGCCAAGGAGAGGGCTGAGAGAGAGGCTCAGAGGCAGCTCCTGGCCACAGAGGAGCTGGTCTACACAGAGAGGAACTACCTGAGACTCCTCCAGGTCTGCACCTGCACCATCAGGAGCAACCTGCAGAAACTACAGGTACCTCAACTGCACCGCTGCATAGTTTCCTGACCATGTGACCTGACCAGGGAAAACTCTGGGGTCTAAAGTCAATAGACGGCTCTCTAAGGAATGGTTATCTTGAAGCACCATGCTTTATTTCCTTTCCCGTCTCTGAAGGTATTTAAATTACCATATCATCGAATGTATTTGATTACAAGGCTGTGCTTAAAATGGGTCTCATAAAAACAGGATGAAATCACATTTTATGGGGTGGAAGGCAAGCCTGTCTATGCATCAGCCAGTGGTAATGATGAGGAGGGCTAATGTGATTGTATGTCGGCAGTAGGATGGAAAGAGGGAGGAGGATGCAGAGGGTGAGAGACGAGGTGGATGGAGATGGAGAGAGAAGGGATAGAAAGATGGAGAGGGTAGTGTTGTGGTGGGTGAATGATGCCCTTTGTGAAGAAGTAAAGTTGGTATGGTGTACCTTCTCCCCCACCACAGCCTCAGCTGCCTAACCTGGACAGCATGTTCCTGTACATCGAGGAGGTGATTGACGTGTCGGGACGCCTCCTCAGCCTCCTGGACCAGAAGCAGGTCACGCCCCATGATCCTCTCTTCCTGGAGACCCTGTGTAAGTAGCAACAGTACAGAAATAATAATGATAAATGCCATTTAGCAGGTTATTTTATCCAAATCCACTTAGTCATGCATGCACACATTTACTAATGGGTGGTCCTGGGAATCAAACCCACATTCCTGGCATTGCAAGCGCCATGCTCTATCAACTGAGCCATAGAGGAGCAGTATTGCAGGAGTAGCAGGACTGTTACCTTGGCGGGCTACCTTCACACCTCACACATACACTATCACACCTAGTAATTCTTACTCACAGGTACTTACTAACATATTCACACCTGCACCACCATACCTACTAATTCTATGGGGCTATTCATGAATAGGCTCATGTCAACCCCCTCTGTTTCACAGGACTATTGATACCAGCTGCTTCTCATTATGTGTTCTACATACCTGCGTGTATTAAAAGCCTATTAGCACATTTCCCACCATGGTGTTACAAACCAAACACTTCATACAGTACACCTTGCAGTCAAGCTGCTTGGAGAGGTCAGCTAAATAATGGGAAAAATAAACTCAGTCTCTGTTGCGACCTTGTTTGCCCCGCTATATTTATATGTAGAGCAAACAAGTGCCGGTGTGTCAGAGTTCCTTTTTTCCATTATTTAGTTGACCTCTCTCAGCAGCTGGACGGCAAGGTGTTCAAACATGAATCTTTTCTGCAGAGATCTAACCTGCAAGAATGGCCAGAGAGACAAATATACATTGAGTGTAGAAAACATTAGGAACACCTGCTCTTTCCATGACATACTGACCAGGTGAATCCAGGTGAATGCTATGATCCCTTATTGATGTCACTTGTTAAATCTCAGTATTATTGGGAAAGGGCTCGTAATTAAGCATTTCACAGTAAAATCTACACCTGTCGTATTCGGAGCATGTGACAAATTACCTTAGCAACGCTCCATGGGGACAGATAAAGGACAGCATGGGAGGCATAAATGTACATTTATGTCCCATCATAAATACTTGATTCATATTCCCTTCAGGTGTTGCCTTCCTCAGTCTATCAACAGACATAGAGTCGGCGTACAAGGAGTACCTGGCCAACTACAGCAATGTCACAGAGTTAGAGAACAGCTACAAGCAGAAAGAACCCCTGTGGACTGAGATGGTGAAAGTCATCAAGTCCTCAGCGTACGTTTATCTCTCTCTGCATTCCTGTTCCAACCATACTTTCTACCATACTTCATTTCTGTCCCAAATCTATGGTCATTTTCATGCCAAACATCCAACAGGGTACGGCTATAAAGTACAAACTGATCTGGGACCAGGCTAACTTTGACCCTATTGTCACATTGAAATACAATGTCCATCCTTCAGTATTGTCACAGCACGTGTGTTGATACAGGCCAGAGGTGAATGTACATAGGTTTATGTCTAATTTTCTGCATTCCTGTTCGTACCATACATTGTCTCTATTGTCCCATTGAAATACAATACTGAAATTGCCCTTAATATCACACCCCATTTTTCTTGTTTTACGGACGTCGAAATACAGCTTTCTCACATTACACGTCTAGAAAAATACACATTTAGACTATGTTGTGTACAGGCCAGAGGTGAATGCTACCTCTCTGAGCTTCTTTCTGGTGATGCCAGTCCAAAGGATCGCTCGCTACCCTCTTCTCCTCCAGACCATCATGAAACATACAGACCCTGGGCACCCGGCCTACTCTCTCCTGGAGCAGACTGCCCACACCGCCATAGCCCTCAACTGCAGGATCAATGAGTACAAACGCTTCCGAGAAGTTGGTGAGGACACGCTAGCTATCACGTTCTAGTAATCATATCCTATGATTGGTTTTACTATTCAGACCAAGGATATTGGATTGTACCTTAGGAATTGATAGATTGTGGCCATTGCCTTCACTTTTTTTTCTGAACACCCATATTAAAATTTCTTGTCTTCTCATCAAAGCCGACAAATATAAGAAGACGGAGACCCTGACGATAAGAGATAAGATAAATCGGCTGAACAGCCACAGCATCGCAAAGAAGACGGCCAGACTGAGCCAGTTCATCAAGCATGAGACGGGGATTGCACCAAGGGTAAGGCACTTTCCGTGCCTGTTCCTATTGTTAAGTTCACTCAGCCATAAAATAAAGCTACACGCCCTTCTTCAGCACTTTAGGTTAATAATTAAACATAGGGAATGGAAAAAGCTGTGAGATAACATATGATATCACCAGTGTTTACTTCTTAAAAGGTCTCGCTGTATTCAAACCTTGATTCACACCTCATTTGTTAGATAAAGTATGTAGAGAGTAGTTGAATACAATGACACATGCTATGCTGGTGGCATCTCACATGGTTATGAGTATTCCCTTGCAGACATTTTTAGACATATTCATAAAGTCACAAACTGAAGCTCTGGGTCTCTTTTTAGCAATGGATGGTAGAACATTATTATTTGAATCTCTGTAAAGATTTATTGAATTTGCTGTTAATAACTTCCCTCGGTTCAATTCCAGTTGGTTGATGAGGAGTTTGATGCCTTGGAGGGCTTTTTCTATCTCCTTGAAAATGGGATCGCCGTGCTACATGAAAATGTGGAGACATATCTCAACCATCTACAGGTGAGTTTTTGTAGACCCGATCCCTTTGCTGTGGAGACCAGAGTAAGATCACCATGACAGCATTGGAATCACTTTGTTTACGCCTGGCTTTCAACTCAACATACAATTAGTGCCCAATCCCTTTAGATTCACTTCTAGCTTGGCATCCTCTTCTCACTAAATAATGGGCACTGTTGGATCAGTGATCCTCCTCACCAGCTGTCGACTACAGCTCTGATTTGAGTATTTTACTTGGCTAATGTTTCCGTAGTGAGCATTTGAAAATGTACAGATATTGTAAGAAAATCTGTAAGTTTTCAGCCTCTTTCTCATTGCCACACCTATGTGAATGCAGTCCTTCCCCACTGTCAAACAACCACTGCCTGTAATAAACCATGGATTTCTGACGACTGCCTCACAGTTTTCTGTTTGAGTTTCCCCTGTGTCTAAATATAGTTTGTGGCATCTTTTCTTCCATCGTTCTATTACAGAGATTCCTTAGCTGTCGACCGGAGGAATTTGATCTTGACATGGACGGTGAGAAGCCTGCTATATGCTACAAGGAAATCACAACTGCATTGAGACAATGGATACTTCCTACATTTGTGAGTCAATCCACAGTACCACTTTGTTATGCATGCTACAACAATGGGCATCAGAAAGGAAGTGGGGTGGGCGGACAGACCGTCTTTATTGAATTATGCCAATGGTCGTGTTTCACTTTCCCACATGTCCTTCAGGCTTCAGATTACACTGCCTGGACCTCACACCTCTATCCATCGCCCTCCCCCACTCTCTATCCCCTAATATTCCCACTTTCTCTTCCCATCCCCCCACTCCATTTCCAGGAGAAGAGGGTGAGGACTTTGGTCCACAAGCCTCTCTGTGCCCTTCGAGAACTGCTGGTGGGGCCTCGTAACCTGATCCGTAAGCGTCTGGACAAGCTGCTGGACTACGAGCTGATCGAAGAGAAGCCAAGTCTGAGCTACGATGAGCAGGCGGTGGCCAACACCTATAAGACCATCAACACGTTGCTCCTCAACGAGCTGCCCCAGTTCAATGGCCTGGCCCTCACCCTGCTCTGGGGCATGCTGGGGGCCTTCAGCTGCCTGCACAAGGACCTGGCTGCAGACATGGAGCAGCTCTTCCAGGGCTTTGCCCAACAGGTAGGTAGCAGGTACACCACAGTCACTGTAGAGGGGTTTAGAAGGAGTAACAAGGTAGACTTTAGTATAGGAACTAGGGTATCTGTGGACGACCAATGCTGACCATTGCAATTTACCATTTCAGCCAGTGAATCTGCTGTCAGTTGTTTGTATCCTGAACAAAAATATAAACACAACATGTAAACTGTTGGTCCTATGTTTCATGACATGAAATAAAAGATCCCAGAAATGTTCTACATGCACAAAAAGTGTATTTCCCTCTAATTTTGTGCACAAATTAGTTTACATCCCTGTTAGTGAGCATTTCTCCTTTGGCATGATAATCCATCCACCTGACAGGTGTGGCATATCAAGAAGCTGATTAAACAGCATGATCATTACACAGGTGCACCTTGTGCTGGGGACAATAAAAGGCCACTCTAAAATGTGCGGTTTTGTCACACAACACAATGCCACAGATGTCTCAAGTTTTGAGGGAGCGTGCAATTGGCATGCTGACTGCAGGAATGTCCACCAGAACTGTTGCCAGATAATTTAATGTTAATTTCTCGTCCATAAGCCACCTCCAACATCGTTTTAGAGAATTTGGCAGTACGTCCAACCGGCCTCACAACCGCAGACCACGTGTAACCATGCCAGCCCAGGACCTCCACATCCAGCTTCTTCACCTGCGGGATCGTCTGAGACCAGCCACCCAGACAGCTGATGAAACTGTGGGTTTGCACAACTTAAGAATTTCTGCACAAACTGTCAGAAACCGTCTCAGGGAAGCTCATCTGCGTGCTCGTTGGCCTCACCAGGGTCTTGACCTGACTACAGTTCGGTATCGTAACTGACTTCAGTGGGCAAATGCTCACCTTTGATGGCCACTGGCACGCTTGAGAAGGGAGCTCTTCACGGATGAATCCCAGTTTCAACTGTACCAGGCAGATGGCAGTATGGCGTTGTGTGGGCGAGCAGTTTGCTGATGTCAACGTTGTGAACAGAGTGCCCCATGGTGGTGGTGGGGTTATGCTATGGGCAGGCATAAGCTATGGACAACGAACACAATTGCATTTTATCGATGGCAATTTCAATGCACAGAGATACCGTGACGAGATCCTGAGGCCCATTGCCGTGCCATTCAAACGCCACCATCACCTCATGTTTCAGCATGATAATGCAAGGCCCCATTTCTTAAGGATCTGTATATATTTCCTGGAAGCTGAAAATGTTCCAGTTCTTCCATGGCCTGCAAACTCACCAGACATGTCACCCATTGAGCACGTTTGGGAGGCTCTGGGTCGACGTGTATGACAGCGTGTTCCAGTTCCCGCCAATATCCAGCAACTTCGCACAGCCATTGAAGAGGAGTGGGACAACATTCCACAGGCCACAATCAACACCCTGATCAACTCTATGCGAAGGAGATGTGTCGCTGTGCATGAGGGAAATGGTAATCACACCAGATACTGACTGGTTTTCTGATCCACGCCCCTACTTTTTTTAAAGGTATCTGTGACCAACAGATGCATATCTGTATTCCCAGTCATGTGAAATCCATAGATTAGGGCCTGATGATTTTATTTAAATTGACTGATTTCCTTATATGAACTGTAACTCAGTAAAATCTTTGAAATTGTTGCATGTTGTGTTTATATTTTTGTTCAGTGTATATTTTCCTTCACTCTGCGGTCTAACTCATCCCAAACCATCTCAATTGGGTTGAGGTCGGGTGATTGTGGAGGCCAGGTCCTCTGATGCAGCTCTCCATCACTCTCCTTCTTGGTCAAATAGCCCTTACACAGCCTGGAGGTGTGTTTTGGGTCATTGTGCTGTTGAAAAACAAATGATAGTCCCACTAAGCCCAAACCAGATGGGATGGCGTATCACTGCAGAATGCTGTGGTAGCCATGAAGGTTAAGTGTGCCTTGAATTCTAAATAAATCACAGACCGTGTCAACAGCAAAGCACCATCACACCACCTCCTCCATGCTTCACGGTGGGAATCACACATGCAGAGATTATCCGTTCACCTACTCTGCGTCTCACAAAGACACGGCGGTTGGAACCAAAAATCTCAAATTTGGACTCATCAGACCAAAGGACAGATTTCCACCGGTCTAATGTCCATTGCCCGTGAAGTCCCCTGTAACTCAGTTGGTAGAGCATGGCGCTTGCAACGCCAGGGTTGTGGGTTCGTTTCCCACGGGGGGCCAGTATGAAAAATGTATGCACTCACTAACTGTAAGTCGCTCTGGATAAGAGCGTCTGCTAAATGACTAAAATGTAAAAATGTATATTGTCAAGCATGTTGTGTTGCAGTTTTCTTGTATCACTTTCAGTGACAGATTAGTGAGAACGATACCTAAGGCCAGAGATGCAGCTGAAGTTGAACTTGACTATCTTTCTAAACTTGTTTTGTCTGACATGTCTTTACAGCTCCCTCACAGTTCCCTGGAGCCTAATGCATTCTGGGAGTGGGCAGAGTGTTCGGTGCTGGAGGGTGCGAGTAGGCTGAAGAGTGTTTGTCGGAATGTGGAGGACCAACTCAATGCTCCCATTGTCCAGGTCAGTCCCAACGGAAGCTGCACTATAATCTGTTGTTTGGTTGGTGGTGATGTGACTTGTTGCCGGGGAACATCGCCAGGGACAATGCGTGTATACATCCACAGCCTCACAGGACTTGTTGTCAAATAGTAGCAGGACGATTCATACTAGACCTATTCACTGTAAATGTTCTTATTACCTGAATCCATCATGTGTTTGGAATAACCTGAATTGGATCAGGATGGTTATTTATATTAGCCTTAGACTTGTGGTGTTACCTGTTGAGTAATCTCTCGTGGACAGACGATGTAAACCTAAATCGGGCGACTAACCAAATTGCGCAATATTTTAGTTCTGGGTTAACCGAGATTACCTGTTGAAGGTTCTGAGGAAGGTGTGCCGCCTGAGGGAACAGTACTGTAACTAAACACAAGTCATTTGTCAAAACTAACACAATAGAACATGTCACGTTCACAACTGACAAAATACAAACTATATTTGCTGTTCAACATGTATAAATAGCAAACTGGAAATTCCATTACCTTTCCCACCCAGTCAGAACAGAAAGCGTTATTCATTTTGCTTAGTCATAATGCACTAATAACTTAACTCCAGCTAACGCGTGGCTCATATCATCACCACACCACTACGCATTACTTTAAGTGATCAGAATGTGAAGAAGGCGAGAGAAGAGGAGAGAGAAATGGTCTGGTCTGTCTCAGACCAGTCTAGACCTCTCACACAGCCCATATTATAATCAGTGTTTTAAGTCTTTCTGTCTGCAATGTGAGCAGCCCTCAGAACAGAACAGAGGGTAGCTATGACTGCGTCCCAAATGACACCCTATTCCCTCAAATGACACCCTATTCCCTATATAGTGCACTAGTTTTGACCGGAGCCCTATGGGCCCTGGTCAAAAGTAGTGCACTACATCGAAAATAGGGTGCCATTTGGGATTGATTCTATATGATAGTAATGAGACTCAGCCTGTCAGATCTACAGGAATACATGACAGCAGTAGTGAGGATGGGCAGCTCATTTGTGGCTGGAGATGACTCTCACTTACAGGAACCATTTCTACAGCACTAGAAAGGAACAGGATCACTTCATTAGCTGCTCTTAGATGACATAGAAAAGCCATAAACCTTACAAGTCACCCTGGGTGAAGGCTAAGCAGGTGAACAAACACCAGTGATAATGAGTGCTCACTCTAATACAACACATTAGGAACACCTGCTCTTTCCATGACATAGACCAGGGGTAGGCAACCCTGTTCCTGGAGTACTGCAGGATTTTGTTCCAACTAGGCACAACACCTGACCAACTGAGCTAATTGATCAGTTCAATGATTGCCTAGAAAACATCAAGTGCCTGTGGCACTCCAGGACCAGGTGAAAGATATCATCCCTAATTGATGCCACTGGTTAAATCCATTTCAATCAGTGTAGATGAAGGGGAGGAGACAGGTTAAATTAGTATTTTTAATGCTTGAGACAATTGAGACATGGATTGTGTATGTGTGGCATTCAGAAGGTGAATGGGCAAGAAAAAATATGTAAGTGCCTTTAAAAGGGGTATGGTAGTAGGTGCCAGGCGCACCAGTTTGAGTGAGTAAAGAACTGCAACGCTGCTGGGTTTTTCACGCGCAACAGTTTCCGGTGTGTATCAAGAATGGTCCACCACCCAAAAGACATCCAGCCAACATGAAACAACTGTGAGAAGCATTGGAGTCAACATGGGCCAGCATCCCTGTGGAACGCTTTCGACACCTTGTAGAGTCATGCCCCGATGAATTGAGGCTGTTCTGAGGTCAAAAGGGGGTTGTAACTGAACATTAGGAAGGTGTTCCTAATCTTTTGTATAATGTGCATCTAAAAAATTGCCAAAGACTCCCTAGTCACCCTAGTCATAGACTGTTCTCTCTGTTCCCCCACACATTGACTCTGTACCGGTACCCCTGTAAATAGCCTTGTTACTGTTATTCTGTTGTTGCTCTTTAATTATTTGTTATTTTTCTATTTTCTATATTCTTTATGTAATTTTTTTAGTTTTTTTCTTCAGTTTATTTAGTAAATACTTTCTTAACACTTATCTATCTTAAAACTGCATTGTTGGTTAAGGGCTTGTAAGTAAGCATTTCACTGTTGTATTCGGCGCATGTGACAAATAACATTTGATTTATAGATTGCATTTGGATTACTGTTACAGTGCTATTTGGGTTGTTAATTGGATTCGTTATGACATTTCTTGATTTCTCAATTTTTTTGTGTGTGATTATTTGTGTACTTGTTTGACATTTTACTGCACTGTTAGGAGCTAGTAACATAAGTATTTCACTGCACCCACTATAACATCTGCAAAACTGTGTACATGACCAATAAACTTTTTTTTGATGTTGCTAATGAATAGTTTAACTATGTTGCTTAGCTATATTCCTGATCACTGCTTATCTACAAAGTCAAGGGAAAGTATTCAGACCCCTTGACTTTTTCCACATTTTGTTACGTTACAGCCTTATTCTAAAATTTATTCTACACACAATACCCCATAATGACAAAGCAAAAACAGGTTTTTAGAAAATGTAGCACATTAAATACAAATAAAAAAATTGCATAAGTATTCAGACCCTTTACTCAGTACATTGTTGAAGCACCTTTGACAGCGATTTCAGCCTTGAGTCTGTATTTGGGGAGTTTCCCATTCCTCTCTGCAGGTGTTCTCAAGCTCTGTCAGGTTGGATGGGGAGCATTGCTGCACATCTATTTTCAGGTCTCCAGAGATGTTCGATCGGGTTCAAGTTCGGGCTCTGGCTGGGCCACTCAAGGACATTCAGAGACTTGTCCCGAAGCCACTCCTGCGTTGTCTTGGCTGTGTGCTTAGGGTCGTTGTCCTGTTGAAGGTGAACCGTCGCCCCAGTCTGAGGTCCTGAGCGCTCTGGAGAAGGTTTTCATCAAGGATCTCTCTGTTCTTTTCTCAGTTAATCTTTGCCTCGATCCTGACTAGTCTCCCAGTCCCTGCTGCTGAAAAACATCCCCACAGCATGATGCTGCCACCACCGTGCTTCACCGTAGGGATGGTGCCAGGATTCCTTCAGATGTGACGCTTGGCATTCAGGCCAAAGGGTTCAATCTTGGTTTCATCAGACCAGAGAATCTTGTTTCTCATGGTCTAAGATTATTTAGGTGCCTTTTGGCAAACTCCAAGTGGGCTGTCGTGCCTTTTACTGAGGAGTGGCTTCCGTCTGGCCACTCTACCATAAAGGCCTGATTGGTGGAGTGCTGCACAGATGGTTGTCCTTCTGGAAGGTTCTCCCATCTCCACAGAGGAACTCTAGAGCTCTGTCAGAGTGACCATCAGGTTCTTTGTCACCTCCCTTATCAAGGCCCTTCTCCCCCGATTTCTCAGTTTGGCAGGGCGGCCAGCTCTAGGAAGAGTCTTGGTGGTTCCAAACTTCTTCCATTTAAGAATGGAGGCCACTGTGTTCTTGGGGACCTTCAATGCTGCAGACATTTTTTGGTACCCTTCCCCAGATCTGTGCCACGACACAATCCTGTCTCGGAGCTCTACGGACAATTCCTTCGACCTCATGGCTTGGTTTTTGCTCTGACATGCACTGTCAACTGTGGGACCTTATATAGACAGTTGTGTGCCTTTTCAAATCATGTCCAATCAATTGAATTTACCACAGGTGGACTCCAAGTTATAGAAACATCTCAAGGATGATCAATGGAAACAGGATACACCTGTGCTCAATTTCATGTCTCATAGCAAAGGGTCTGAATACTTATATAAATAAGATAATTCTGTTTATTTTTTATAAATTTGCAAACATTTCAGAATCTGTTTTTGCTTTGTTCTTATGGGGTATTGTGTGTAGATTGATGAGGGGGGGGGGGGGAACAATTTCATCAATTTTAGAATAAGGCTGTAACGTAACAAAATGTGGAAAAAGTCAAGGGGTCTGAATACTTTCCGAATGCACTGTATGTTCCTGAACTTGGAGTATCGGTTCATTAGGGCACACCGTAGCATAAACTTTTTGCAACTGAAAGCGAACATTTAGTGTTTATTATTGGACAAATCCAGGTAGTCTCCCTGTTTCAGTCAGTTTCCTTCCATTTTGTGCGTAAATGAACACGACCCTGTTATGTTCACTTGGGTCCTCCCAGCCTCTCAGCCCTCGGTCTCAGAAGCGTCTGAAGGTCCTGACAGATAAGCATGGCTCAGGCAAGATCTACCAGCTGACGGGTCATGTGGTGGGGACCAGAGACCTGGACCTGAGCCTGAACAGAGGAGAGCTGGTGGCCATCATCAGTGAGATGGACACACGGGGGGACAGACGACGCTGGCTGGTCGACGCTGGGGGTAAGACCTCCAAGATATCTCACCTTTTCACTTGAGGGGATGATCTTTAAAATGACACACTGCTTCACTTTCTTTTTATATACACTACCAGTCAAAAGTTTGGACACACCTACTCATTCAAGGGTTTTTCTTTATTTTTACAATTTTTTACATTGTAGAATAATAGTGAAGACATCAAAACTATGAAATAACACATATGGAATCAAGTAGTAACCAAAAAAGTGTTAAACAAATCAAAATATATTTTATATTTGAGATTCTTCAAATAGCCACCCTTTGCCTTGACAGCTTTGCACACTCTTGGTATTCTCTCAACCAGCTTCATGAGGTAGTCACCTGGAATGCATTTCAATGAACAGGTTTGCCTTCTTAAAAGTTAATTTGTGGAATTTCTTTCCTTAATGCGTTTGAGCCAATTAGTTGTGTTGTGACAAGGTAGGGGGTGGGGGTATACAGAAGATAGCCCTATTTGGTAAAAGACCAAGTCCATATAATGGCAAGAACAGCTCAAATAAGCAAAGAGAAATTACAGTCCATCATTACTTTAAGACATGAAGGTCAGTCAATACGGAACATTTCAAGAACTTTTGAAAGTTTTTTCAAGTGCAGTCACAAAAACCATCAAGCGCTATGATGAAACGGGTTCTCATAAGGACCGCCACAGGAATGGAAGACCCAGATTTACCTCTGCTGCAGAGGATAAGTTCATTAGAGTTACCAGCCTCAGAAATTGCAGCCCAAATAAATGCTTCACAGAGTTCAAGTCACAGACACATCTCAACATCAACTGTTCAGAGGGGACTGTGTGAATCAGGCCTTCATGGTCGAATTGCTGCAAAGAAACCACTACTAAAGGACACCAATAAGAAGAAGAGACCTGCTTGGGCCAAGAAACACGAGCAATGGACATTAGGAATTCAAGGAACACTTTGATCTGGAGTCCGAATTTGAGATTTTTGGTTCCAACCGCCGTGTCTTTGTGAGACGCGGTGTGGGTGAACGGATGATCTCCACATGTGTAGTTCCCACCGTAAAGCATGGAGGAGGAGGTGTTATGGTGTGGGGGTGCTTTTGCTGGTGACACTGTCTGTGATTTATTTAGAATTCAAGGAACACTTAACCAGCATGGCTACCACAGCATTCTGCAGTGATACGCCATCCCATCTGGTTTCGGCTTAGTGGGACTATCAATTGTTTTTCAACAGGACAATGACCCAACACACCTCCAGGCTGTGTAATGGCCATTTTACCAAGAAGGAGAGTGATGGAGTGCTGCATCAGATGACCTGGCCTCCACAATCCCCCGACCTCAACCCAATTGAGATGGTTTGGGATGAGTCGGACGGCAGACTGAAGGAAAAGCAGCCAACAAGTGCTCAGCATATATGGGAACTCCTTCAAGACTGTTGGAAAAGTATTCCAGGTGAAGCTGGTTGAGAGAATGCCAAGAGTGTGCAAAGCTGTCATCAAGGCAAAGGGTGGCTAATTGAAGAATCTGAAATATTAAATATATTTTGATTTGTTTAACACTTTTTTTGGTTACTACATGACTCCATAATTTTAATGTCCTCACTATTATTGTACAATATAGAAAATAGTAAAAATAAAGAAAAACCCTTGAATGAGTAGGTGTGTCCAAACTTTTGACTGGTACTGTGTGTGTGTATACAGGTAAAAGTCAGTAAATTAGAATATTTTGAAAAACTTGATTTATTTCAGTAATTGCATTCAAAAGGTGTAACTTGTACATTATATTTATTCATTGCACACAGACTGATGCATTCAAATGTTTATTTCATTTAATTTTGATGATTTGAAGTGGCAACAAATGAAAATCCAAAATTCCGTGTGTCACAAAATTAGAATATTGTGTAAGGGTTACATTTTGAAGACACCTGGTGCCACAAAATAATCAGCTGATTAACTCAAAACACCTGCAAAGGGCTTTAAATGGTCTCTCAGTCCAGTTCTGAAGCCTACACAAACATGGGGAAGACTTCAGATTTGACAGCTGTCCAAAAGGCGACCATCGACACATTGCACAAGGAGGGAAAGACACAAAAGGTTATTGCAGAAGAGGCTGGCTGTTCTCAGAGCTCTGTGTCCAAACACATTAATAGAGAGGCAAAGGGAAGGAAAAACTGTGGTCAGAAAAAGTGTACAAGCGATAGGGATCACCGCGCCCTAGTCAAGATTGTGAAAAAAAACCCATTCAAAAATGTGGGGGAGATTCACAAGGAGTGGACAGCTGCTGGAGTCAGGGCTTCAAGATCCACCACCAAGAGACGCTTGAAAGACATGGGTTTCAACTGCCGCATACCTCGTGTCAAGCCACTGTTGACCAAGAAACAGTGCGAAAAGCGTCTCACCTGGGCTAAGGAAAAAAAGAGCTGGACTGCTGCTGAGTGGTCTAAAGTCATGTTTTCTGACGAAAGCAAATTTTGCATTTCCTTTGGAAATCGAGGTCCCAGAGTCTGGAGGAAGACAGGAGAGGCACAGGATCCACGTTGCCTGAAGTCTAGTGTAAAGTTTCCACCATCAGTGATGGTTTGGGGTGCCATGTCATCTGCTGGTGTCGGTCCACTCTGTTTCCTGAGATCAAGGGTCAACGCAGCCGTCTACCAGCAAGTTTTAGAGCACTTCATGCTTCCTGCTGCTGACCTGCTCTATGGAGATGGAGATTTCAGGTTCCAACAGGACTTGGCGCCTGCACACAGCGCAAAATCTACCCGTGCCTGGTTTACGGACCATGGTATTTCTGTTCTAAATTGGCCAGCCAACTCCCCTGACCTTAGCCCCATAGAAAATCTGTGGGGTATTGTGAAAAGGAAGATGCAGAATGCCAGACCCAACAACGCAGAAGAGTTGAAGGCCACTATCAGAGCAACCTGGGCTCTCATAACACCTGAGCAGTGCCAGAAACTCATCGACTCCATGCCACGCCGCATTAATGCAGTAATTGAGGCAAAAGGAGCTCCAACCAAGTATTGAGTATTGTACATGCTCATATTTTTCATTTTCATACTTTTCAGTTGGCCAACATTTCTAAAAAATCCCTTTTTTGTATTAGCCTTAAGTAATATTCTAATTTTGTGACACACGGAATTTTGGATTTTCATTTGTTGCCACTTCAAATCATCAAAATTAAATGAAATAAACATTTGAATGCATCAGTCTGTGTGCAATGAATAAATATAATGTACAAGTTACACCTTTTGAATGCAATTACTGAAATAAATCAAGTTTTTCAAAATATTCTAATTTACTGACTTTTACCTGTATATATATTTAGTTGTTGTTGTATTTTATCCCCTTTTTCATGATATCCAATTGCGATCCAATTACAGTTTTGTCTTGTCACTGCAACTCCCCAACGGGCTCGGGAGAGGCTAAGGTCGAGTCATGTGTCCTCCGAATCATGACCCGCCAAATCGCGCTTCTTAACACCGCACGCTTAACCCGGAAGCCAGCTGCACCAATGTGTCGGAGGAAACACCGTTCAACTAATGACCTAAGTCAGCCTGCAGGCGCCCGGCCCACCACAAGGAGTCGCTAGAGCGCGATGAGCCAAGTATAGACCCCCCGGCCAAACCCTCCCCTAACCCGGACAACGCTGGGCCAATTGTGCGCCTATGGGACTCCCGGTTTTGGCCGGTTGTGACACAGCCTGGGATTGAACCCGGGTCTGTAGTGACCGCTGCGCCACTCGGGAGGCCACTGCTTCACTTTCTAAAGGAAAGTCAGTCCTTTAGTAAGTCAATGTATTGTGTTTTCTGTCAATGTAGCAGTGAATACCAAACTAGAATGCTGGTTCAGCCACCACCAGTTAGTGGAGACATCTAATGGTTGTTTACTGTTACTGCTGGCTGTGTACTCATAGTAGGTGTTGAGTTCTATCAATCCAAATAGATTAGCTTAATTATTGGATAATAGGTGGTTTGTAATGCATCTTATTACAGTATAAAACTGATGAACGCATGTTTTATGATAATCTATTACACAATCTGTGTCCAGGTCCAAGAGGATACGTCCCCTCCCCCAAACTGGTGCGTTACCACCAGGTAACCATGGACCCTCCCCTGTCTCCTCATCTGACAGTCACTACCATGGATTGTGCTGGGGGGGTCAGACGACACTCCTACACCCCTGACGTCAGGCGACACTCCTACTCCCCTGATACACCCCAGCCCGTGAGGACTGTGTCAATGACTGTGCCCTGCTTCCAGGTAAGTGACACTCCCTGGTGAAGTTTGCCCTAGGTATAGATCTAGGATCAGTGTCCCCTCCACAATCCTAACCTTAAAGTGATAGTCCACCCAAATTACAAAATTACTTATTGGTTTCCTTACCCTGTAAGCAGTCTATTGTCTAGATGACAGCGATCCATGCTTTGGTTTAGTTTCCCTGGCACTGTTTCCACATGCTAACATTTTAGCAATTGTGGCAGAAATCCCATTCAAGTCATTGGACTGATATTAGCATTTTTCACGCATGTTCAAAACATCCAAGTGATTTTTGTTGAGCTTCACAATCAATTTAAGATACTTTTGGATAATTTGGACATGATACGCGAAAAATTCTAATATCTGTCCAATGACTTGAATGGGATTTGTGCCACAAATGCTAAAACGTTAGCATGTGGAAACAGTGCCAAAGAAACAAAGCATGGATTGCTGTCATACCATGTCCATAGACTTCTTACAGGGTAAGGAAACCAATGTCATTTAGTAATTTGGGTGAACTATCCCTTTAACCATTAGTGGGGAAAAAAAAATCAAATTGACCCAAGATTAGTGTCTAGGGGCAACTTCACCCGGGTGAGTGACACAAGAGGGCCAGAGCAGCATGGGATCTGAGTGGCAGGGTGTTAAAGCACATCTGATTACCTGCTCTGATTTGTGTGTCAGGGAAATGGATGATGGGTGTATGCGATGGTGGGGAACAGCATCCCATCAATCAAACACTGTCAGATGTGTTTGAGGGTTTTGGTGGAAAACCCCAAATTGGCTGCTTACCCTTGTCAGCAGTGATGAAATGAAGAGTGCCCCCAAACCCTATTCAGAGTGCTTTATTAATTTATTTGTTTTAGCTCTAAAAACATCAGTATACATTGTTGGAGGAGCCACACATGCACAGTGTGGGCGGAGGTGTCGAGGCACATAAATGTTTCTGGGTTGATTCTGTGTGTTGCGGCGGTGTTGAAATACAGCTCTCCTGGTTGTAAAAGTGAGTGATTCTCCTCATGACCTTTGGGAGGCATTTATCATACCCTTATAGCCAGCCCTCTTCATGTACCGCTGGAAGTATGATCACTAATCATAGGCAGGTGACAATCCCCTAAGGCTTCAATTCTTCAACATGGGTGTTCCATTTGAGTCTGTTCTTTCTGTCCAAAATCCTTACCTTGGCTGAGTATGTGCCTGTGTGAGCAGAGGAGACTGATGGTGATTATTAGTCAACTACCATCACAGGCCACACGGCGGAGCCCTAATCTGCACTTACATGCCCTGATGATGGCCAACTTTCTAGAGTCCTGTTGTCCAGAGAAGAGCTGTGTTTACTAATGGCGTTGGCCAGACCACCAGGCTAAAAACAGCAATTAGGCTGCTAGCACATCAATCTCTGTTAGACCACCATGCTCGTTAATAAAGCCGTGTTTGCTCTGTCTGTTCTTTGTCCACCGCGGTGTCGTTGCAGGTGTTCGCAGGCTATGACTTCGCGGCGAGGAGCAGTCATGAGGTCTCTCTGAGGGCGGGGGAACCAATCAGAGTCCTGGAACCCCACGACAAGAGGGGTAGCCGTGACTGGAGCCTGGTGGAGGTGCGGGGACAGAGGGGGTATGTGCCCTCCAACTACCTGGCAGTGGTGCCTACATCTATGTCGCCCACCACCCCCTACCACTAGGGTTGCCCCGGGCAACCAGCCAGTCCCAGCTAGACGCCACTCAACCATCGCAGCTCACGCACCTCATCTCAGCAGGAGAAGCACTCTCACTGAAGCCTACATCTACAGGAGGGAGAGGGAGAGTGTGTGTGATGGATTGGATGACAGGTGTGTGTGAAGTGGTGCACCAGGCATTTGCATGTAGAGAGCTCCAAGCCCTCGACTGCAGCTCTTATTAGAAGCATGTAAGTGGGAGGCCGCTTCCATCACCAGGAACCAGGGGTGGAATACAGCTTTTTTCTAGAGAGAATGACTGACTGACAGGCAGGCAGGTAGCAATGCCTCAGCACAGTGTGAGGATGAAGGAGAGCAGGCAGTCTGTGGCAAGGGAATTGGCTCTTGTGAATATTTTACCTACCTGACAAAGCTTCTCCACTGAGCGGATCTTTCTCTCTCTCAACTGACGCTGGCAGTTAAACTGATGGACATATGTACAGACCCCTGACTCCATTTATGTGATGTACCACTTGCACCGTCAACAGTGAATCTGCCACTGACATTTACAGCAATGCAATTTATGCTCAGACAAAATAGTTTTATGATTTCTAGGAAGAATGAGGTCGGCATACTAAAACATTAATGCTAGATTGCATGATCAAATAAGAAGAGGGAGAGAGTGGATAAGATGACTTGTGTTCAAATGGATGAAGCGTAGCTAGTTTGATTCCAGATATCAAATGGCAGCAAACATCTGTTATTAAAGCAATTACATCATTCGGTTGTTATGGCTTTAATAGCATAGTACTTGTAGTGCCAGCGGCGCCTTCTCATTGGTCCAAATGTCAGGGCAGAGTGAGACGACAAGACATTACGTGCTGCTGCTGTATCTGGCCTGTCTGGTCTAGACAGAGGTAGAACTCTGTGTCTTCTCTGAGCTGGCCACAAGGGGGCATAGCTCACCTAACAGATGGCGTTGTAGGCTTTAGCGTCTTTATTATTACCTCAGTCAGTATTGATGCTAATCTTCTGGTGGACGTTGCGCAATCTAAACATGTTCATATCTTAACAGTGTTGTGATATATAATTCATTTGACTGTCAATATCTGCTTCATAATATGATCTAATGAGAATATGTTTGCTCAGTAAGTCTACTGTCAGGGATAATCCAATGTCATGTTTTTTTATTGTATTTATTTATTTGTATTTATTCACCGCCAGCAGGCTTTTATAATGTGTTCTGATGACATGAGCTATGAAAGATGAAATGACTCAGTATAGCCAAAAACAGTTTGGAAGGGAGCACAGCTCTGCTCTGTTGGTGCAGCAGTGTCATTGTTATGCTGATTGCTGCAGAATAGTCTGGATGATTCAAAATTCAAGCTGGGTATGCAGCTTTTCAGATATTCACCTCCATTTTACCATGTTGGCTCATAACAGGATTTGTATGCGGCTCTACATTTTTTGATATATTTTAAGGAAAGACCACATAGATGGTGACCCATTTTGTGAAAGCTATTATAACATAGCTTTCACTAAGCGAGCACCAGAATGGAGGGTAATCAAGTGTAAATGGACGTCAGGGCTTTTAGGGTTGCACTTAACCAAACAACGCTACTGCGTGACACGTGCTGTATTCCATATGACATCTAAACATATGTGTGGCGTATTCCGCATTTGTGGTTGTCACCTTGATGCTAAGGACGGGTTGTCACCAGGGATTTGATGCAGTGACTCTCTGCAGCTACTGCTAGCCCTAGCATGACAGAACCCTACGCAGCTCTAAAAATACACTTTCTCTCATTCAATGGTTCTATAAATAGACCACTGTCCTTATAAAATCCCCTGTTGGACCCTTGTTCTCCCCCTGCTGGCCACAGTGGAAACAAGTTGTTTCTCCTTCCTACCTCCTCTGGGTGGTAAATCCCATAACACCAACTGTTATACTACCTCCCTGCACGGCTCCCGGGTCGCTCTTGGCTTAAAATCGATAGAGGAGTATACAGACAACAATTAGGTTGGTTGTTGTTTCTGTCTTAGAGAATTGGGCTCCTGACTGCGAGGGTAATCCAGTGCTTTGCAGCCAAGGCTGAGACAAGGCGTCCATGTTTCTGTTAGCCTCCGACTCCAGTCAGAGTGTGGATCAGCTGCTCCACAGTAACACTGTCTGTTTATATGGCTGCAGCCTCACATTTATGTGCTGGGCTGAATTTATTGTCCATTTGTAGGGGGTCGCTGTGGCAGTCAAGGGAGAGAGCATCTGCATCTGGGTGCCGGGGGGTATTTTTCCTGAAAGAGTCTCCCTCCTTCTCCCCCTCCGCCACCTCCCCTGACTTGTGAGGAAGTGTTGAAGCGCAGTGTGTAACGGGGCAGATCCGTCAAAGCCACGCTGGACTGGCCACAGAAATAGTAGCAGTGGGCTTGGCCTGGTTGCTTTAAGCCAGGGCTGTATTTGGTAACCATTTGGCACTGCTCCTGATGCCTTAGCTTGGCTTCTTTAAGGCCCTCTCAGCTGGCCCTTTAAGGCCCTGTCTCTGGCAAAACCAATTTAGTTTTAACAATGGCTCATCCCCTCTGCTGCTGGACTAGAATGGGAGAGTCTCCCCTGCCTTGTAGCCACTGACTGGGGGTTTAGAAGATAGGGGTGAGACTAAGGCGTGGACGGTGCAGGGTAGCGTGTGAGTGAGCCACGGCAGTCAAGCTTAACAGATCTCCTTGTCGTCAGGAGGATTGACTTGGCTGTTCCTAATTCCAGGACATCAGCTGTTTTCTGCTTTCTCCTTCATGGTTCCAGCCCCTCTTTGAATAAGACATACAGAGAGAGAAGGTATACAGTACATTTGGAAAGTATTCAGACCCCTTGACTTTTTCCACGTTTTGTTACATTACAGCATTATTCTAAAATTGATTGAATAATTTTTTTCCCTCATCAATCTACACACAATACCCCATAATGACAAAGCAAAAACAGGTTTTTAGATTTTTGCACATTTATTACAAATAAAAAACAGATACCTTATTTACATAAGTATTCAGACCCTTTGCTATGAGATTCGAAATTGAGCACAGGTGCATCCTGTTTCCATTGATCATCCTTGAGATGTTTCTACAAGTTGATTGGAGTCCACCTGTGGTAAATTCAATTGATTGGACATGGTTTGGAAAGAAACACACCTGTCCCACTGTTGACAGTGCATGTCAGAACAAAAACCAAGCCATGAAGTCGAAGGAATTGTCCGTAGAGCTCCGAGACAGGATTGTGTCGAGGCTCAGATCTGGGGAAGGGTAACAAAACATTTTTGCAGCATTGAAGGTCCCGAAGAACACAGTACCCTCCATCATTCTTAAATGGAAGAAGTTTGGAACCATCAAAACTCTTATTACAGCTGGCCACCCTGCCAAACTGAGCAATCGGGGGAGAAGGGTGATCAAGAACCCGATGGTCATTCTGACAGAGCTCCAGAGTTCCTCTGTGGAAATGGGAAAGCCTTCCAGAAGGACAACAATCTCTGCAGTACTCCACAAATCAGGCTTTTATGGTAGAGTGGCCAGACGGAAGCCACTCCTCAGTAAAAGGCACATGACGGCCCGCTTGGAGTTTGCCTAAAGGCTCTCAGACCATGAGAAACAAGATTCTCTGGTCTGATGAAACTAAGATTGAACCCTTTGGCCTGAATGCCAAGTGTCACGTCTGGAGGAAACCTGGCACCATCCCTACGGTGAAGCATGGTGGTGGCAGCATCATGCTGTGGGGATGTGTTTCAGCGGCAGGGACTGGGAGACTAGTCATGAACGAGAGTAAAGTACAGAGAGATCCTTGATATAAACCTACTCCAGAGCGCTCAGGACCTCAGACTGGGGGCGAAGATTCACCTTCCAACAGGACAACGACCCTAAGTACACAGCCAAGACAACACAGGAGTGGCTTCGGGACAAGTCTCTGAATGTCCTTGAGTGGCCCAGCCAGAGCCCGAACTTGAACCCGATCGAATATCTCTGGAGAGACCTGAAAATAGCTGTGCAGCGATGCTCCCCATCCATCCTGACAGAGCTTGAGAGGATCTCTGGCAATCTGAGGCAATCTCTGGCAAGCTGAAGAGAAGAATGGGAGAAACTCCCCAAATACAGGTGTGCCAAGCTTGTAGCGTCATACCCAAGAAGAGGCTGTAATCGAGCCAAAGGTGCTTCAACAAAGTACTGAGTAAAGGGTCTGAATACTTATGTAAATGTAATATTTCAGTTTTTTTATTTTTTATAAATTTGCAAAAATGTCTAGAAACCTGTTTTTGCTTTGTCATTATGGGGTATTGTGTGTAGATTGATGAGGGAAAAAATGTGGAAAAAGTCAAGGGGTCTGAATACTTTCCGAATGCACTGTACACTGTGACATAAGAGAGACAATTCACATGTGGTTCCCTTAAACTGAATATCATTCCATCCATTCTTTTCCCACACGCTGACTTGAAACTGAATTTTATATTCCCTTTCCATTTGAAGGAAGTTATGTGGCCTGCAATAGACTAGCGTCCTGTCCAGGGAGTGTATTTGTACCTCAGGCTGCCTCACCCTCCAGAAACTGGAGATGGAACGGCAAATAGGACAGGAGCCTGTCTCGAACAGGCATACTTACAGTTGAAGTCGGAAGTTTACATACACTTAGGTTGGAGTCATTAAAACTCGTTTTTCAACCACTCCACAAATTTCTTTGTTAAGAAACTATAGTTTGTTAACAAGTCGGTTAGGACATCTACAATTGTTTACAGACAGATTATTTCACTTATAATTCACTGTATCACAATTCCAGTGGGTCAGAAGTTTACATACACTAAGTTGACTGTGCCTTTAAACAGCTTGGACAATTCCAGAAAATGATACATGGCTTTAGAAGCTTCTGATAGGCTAATTGACATAATTGGAGTCAATTGCAGGTGTACCTGTGGATGTACACTGCTCAAAAAAATTAAGGGAACACTTAAACAACACATCCTAGATCTGAATGAATGAAATAATCTTATTAAATACTTTTTTCTTTACATAGTTGAATGTGCTGACAACATAATCACACAAAAATTATCAATGGAAATCAAATGTATCAACCCATGGAGGTCTGGATTTGGAGTCACCCTCAAAATTAAAGTGGAAAACCACACTACAGGCTGATCCAACTTTGATGTAATGTCTTTAAAACAAGTCAAAATTAGGCTCAGTAGTGTGTGTGGCCTCCACGTGCCTGTATGACCTCCCTACAACGCCTGGGCATAATACTGATGAGGTGGCGGATGGTCTCCTGAGGCATCTCCTCCCAGACCTGGACTAAAGCATCCGCCAACTCCTGGACAGTCTGTGGTGCAATGTGGCGTTGGTGGATGGAGCGAGACATGATGTCCCAGATGTGCTCAATTGGATTCAGGTCTGGG